TTGTGAGTGTGCATTTGAGCAACTGTGCTGCCAGGCATATAGCCGCTTTATTGCAGTTATTAATAATAATAAAAAATGTGTAGTACGCATTAAAGCACGTTCTGGTCTTTAGTTTACTATGAGCTACATACAAAACATGCATTGTGTTCCCCGGGAAAATGAACGACAATCGTTAATGGGGTCCGGTAACACCATTGGTGTGCAACACGAGCCCACTTATAAAATAACGAATGACTCCTCCAACACCAGATTTCACGATGTGTTGCACCGCCCCTTGGTCCTAGTTGTTTATGGGTTCATTTAATACAAGCCAAAGCTCAATGGGGTTTGAGCATCGTTCTGTCCGCTCGAATCACAACGAGCTCATCACGAACAGAGTTTCAGTAGCTGCTACTCTTTGCATGCTGTCGCATAAGTGTCATAAGCTGTTCATACGCCCGAGATTGTCAAGTAACAAATTACTCTTCCATGAACAGGATTTACCATTAAAAAAATTCACTGAAGCAATGGAAATCAGGAACAAGACGAGAAGTGTCTTCAGCGGACAAAATGATACGAGATGCACCTGATAGTGAAGGTCCTCGAACACCGTACAAACCGTGACCCACTTAAATAACGGCCTGGTCTGTGCAATGCGCCCTCAGATCTGGAGTTAGAGACGTCACTTTTTCTTTGACATTTTATGGCGTATGAATTCGTTTGTCGACATCTTAAGTCGAACCGTGGCAACGAGTACGAAATCAGATGTGCCCCCTAAAATGCAATTTTTAACAGTTTTAATGTTCGTAGATAAATTAAACATAATAAAGTCGTTGAACGAGACACGGTTCTACACCAGTCCATGTTTGCTTTGGCTTAAGTTGCCGTATAAAAGTTGCTTCAGTTTTATTTTCGACAATTTTTGCGACATGATATCTTCAGAAAGAATCTGGAGCATTTATAGCGAAATATAACTAAAATAACTGAAGTGGGAAGAAGGTAATCAGTATTGATGGAAGTACTGGAGTTTATTTGCCGGATTAGTGATGCTCGTTTAAAAAATCAAAATTTCTTCATATTGGATGAGGCTATGAAAAGACGAGAATATGAAAAGCAGAAGGGGTGATGGAGAATGACGTGTAGAGATAAAATCAGAAGAGGAAATAAAGAGAAAGAGTTACAAGCTCAAGTCTTAGAATGAACGGCAAGAACCAAGGTAAGGACAATGATAGAAAAAAAAGTGGGAATGGTTAAATAGAGAAAGAGGAAAAGGAGGATGAGAAAACGTGAGAAATGACGGAGAGATAAAAGGTAGAAGGAAAAGTGAAAATGAAGCGGAAGAGACAGAAGCACGACGGTAGAAATCAGAGCAAATGGTAAGAAAGGAAAAATGCAAATGTGAAGAACGTGAAGAAACAGGAAGAGATTGAGATAGCAGGCTGCGAACAGCCGGATTAGGAGAAAAGAGAGAATGAAAAATAAGAGAAAAGTAATATGAGAATATGAAAAAATGGAAGAGAAAATGAAGAATTAACAGAAGTGGAAAATATAGAAGAATCGTATGGGAAAAGAGAAAAACGAAGGTCGTAACGATAAATAAAATGAGACGATGATGACGGAAAAAGAACATTAATAAAGGTAATAAGTGTGACTTTAATGTCATCCGGAGGAAGTTGCCTGAAGATACAGACACTTGTTTTAAAGTGAAGTTCATCAGTGTTCATTTAATTTTTGTAAATCGTTTTACTGTTAAATACAATAATTCAGCATCAACGAAGGTGTGCTAATTTTTAAAGCTGGAAGGGGATTCGCCACGTCTTTGCATATATCAATATGCATAACGATTTGCACTGTAGGCAACGCTTTGTGCAGCTACCGGCCGTTGTGATATAGAATACTAATTGGCATTGGAATGGCGACTTTGGCCTGGAGAAGGCTCAGAACTGCAAATCGATGTGTTCAAACAAGCCGTCAGATTGCTTCACCGTTTAATAAATATGCCGAAGGCTCCTCATACACCTCTGAGTAACATTTTTTGTATAAAGTTTCGTAGCGCATATGTACAGTCACGAAACATCTGCGGCCCTTGAACGCCATGAGCTTTAGTTTGCAGCTTTCAACAGCGCTGTCTTTGAAGTATCCCGATAATGACTCATCAAGTGCTGATGACCAGCGGTCTGAGGAAATCATCAAATGAACTCCGAGACTCTCCATGACCCCATGGCTTGGCTTGATAAAGCATTCCTCGAAGAGAGTGAAAAAAACCTTTTCTTTCCGCTACCTTTCTGAGCTCTCAGCCGCCTACTGACCACAGACGCGTCTGACTACAGTGTAAAACATGTGCATATGTCGCTGAGGGAGACCTGCTCGAAATGAGGAATATTACCTTTGTCAGAGAATTGAGCGCGTTGCCTAATACCAGTCTGAGATGCCATTTCTAAAGGGTCATCATCATTAGCCCGGTTTACTCTAATGTTTAAGCTCTGCAAGCCTTAGAAGATGATGGTGACAAAGCATCGATAAATATCATTCGAAATGCACTAGATGTTGTGGGAGGTGGA